ACACACACACACACACACACACACACACACACACACACACACACACCATCGCGGGAATAGTCAGGGAACCTTCTTAGGACCTCGAAACATCGAGATCTTATTAAAACTCACTTTTCGATAATCGGGGTGAAAAAAATAACTTTTCGACTTTTTAAAATCATTGGCTTTCATAACGGGAAGTTAAAAAGTAACTTTTTGAGGTAATACAATTTTTGTATTAGTATGAACATATGCATGTTTCTATTGAACTGTCAAGAAATAAAATTAATAGTATTGCTTTTGTAAGTGTTTAGTAAAAAGAAAATAAATAAATAAAAAACGAGTTTGAGCTTACGATTCAATGAATTAAGGCAATTTGCAGGTGGAAAAAAATCATTGTGCACATTCAAATTCACATCACTGCTCCATTTATGTTGAAGAACAAATAAAGGAATATTTTGTAATGTTGTCATGTTAAAATTGAAATAACTTTATTAAAGAAGGAGCCCAGATGTCTGATATAACCGTTTAAAACACGCAAACTACTGTTGTAGCTATTTTAAGTCTCGGATATTATTAACTCTTTCAGTTACTAGGCAAACCGGAAGCTAATCATAGTAAAGATACTATTCAATCTATATTTTAAAATTTAAATTAACAAATTACCTATTGGAATGAAATTACACTTATTTAAACTTTTCTTTAAATTGATTCCATCATCACTATGTAGTATGCTTGACTTTACTGATTGATGAATAATCTTCGGTAGTAATGCATCATTAAAGCCAAAACTTTCTGATTCTCTATTATTGTTGTTATTGTGATTATTATTATTTTTATCTTCAAAATTGATTAGTTGTTTTGAAGTAACAACATTTGATTCATGTCGTATGCCTTTATCATTGATTGTGTGGTTATTGGTAGTGCTATTAACAAAACCATCTAATTGTTTCGACCAGGACGATTCAATTTCATTTGATGATAGTTTAGCTGTAAACCAAAAAAAAATTTAACTGTTTATTATTAAGAGTTTTTATTCTTAGAAAACGGAAATATTACAAATTTTTTTACCATTAGCATTAAAAGATGCATGGTTGATATCATCATGATTTATTGGTTGAATATTAAGGAGTGTAGCAAAGGTGCTATTGTTTGATGATTCTGCAAAATGTTTTTTCGCCACAAGTGATGTTCGGATACTGTCTGGTTTATCCTTAACAAAAATAAAAAATTATATTATAAAAAATTTGTTTGGATACATTTGTAGTAATGTTACTAAATACTTGATGTAAGTTTACCAATAAATCTAGTCCAAAATAAAATCCTGGACCTAGTTCTGAAACTGCCCCTATGAATTTAATTACAGCTAAATGTTTATTTGCTGAGTTCGATTCTGGATTGAACCAAACTTGATTGTTTATTTTTAAATTACTAACGTCCTCACAAAATTTAGTATCCATAGCTAATCGAACCCTTTCATTTGGAGCTTGGACGGCTGCTAAGAAATACCATACTATTTGTGGTACAGGTGTTAAATCAATTCTGTGACATTTCCACTCTGTTTTATGCCAGATATCAGCATTATTCGTATCGTTAACACGAATCCTGAGTCCACCATCTGATTGGATCTCTTTAGCTTCAACAAGCATTCCAAGACGCAATGTACAGACACTTTGATCACATTCACCAGATATTCTACTCAAAATAGTGTTTCTAATTGCTACATAGTGACATGGAGAAGTTGATAAATTCATATTGTCATAGATACTCCACTTATCCATCTTTTTATTAACAACTGTTTCGCGTATTACTCGAATAATAAATAAATTATAAAAAAATTAAATTTTATGGCTTACATTATCTTATAATTTGTAAATGCATTACAACTCACTAAACCACTAAAACAATACTCTTAACATTTTCACATCACTCACGTGAAGAATTATAATAGAATAAATAATAATATTTGAAAAATCTAATTAACAAAAAGAATTGTTTTTTAATTTCATCAAAGTATATACACATATACACACATAATATGTCAAGTCTCTGTCAATAAATAATAAATGTAAAAAAATTTCTTCCTTATCGATCTTTTTAATTTTGCACAGTAATTTTTGTAATTTTACTTTTTTTTTTTTTAACTTTTTAGGGTTAGGTTTTAAAAAAGTTACTTAAATATTTAAAAAAATTTTCAATTTATAGACATAAGCAATAAACACCTTACAAAAACTTAATCACCTAGCCCACAGAAATTAGTCAGTTTTACCCAGTTTGGCTGTGCCAACTGGAAGTTGATCGAAAAATTTAAATTTCTTGAAATTTCAAATCCAAGTAGGTTAATATGAAATTCTAACAAGTATCTAATGGTGGTCTCAATTTGTTATTAAATAATAGGCAAACAAAAAAAACGTAAATTAAAAATTTAATATCTCTGAAACTATTAATCTGGCGGGTTAAGTTTTTACATAGAATTTGTAGAGCATAAAAAAATCTACAACTTTGTTTTCGGGTAAATTTCTGTCAGACTTATAGTTTATTAGTTATTAACAATCGAAGTTTCATAAACAAATTGAGCTAGCAAGCTGAAAAATCAACCGATTTCATTTTTGATTTTTTCCACATATTTCTGGTAATAAAAGGAACATTTTTAATATTTTTCAAAATATTTATCTCAAAAATTTGATTTTTAAAAATCAAAAAACCGCTTTTTTTTTGGAAGCCAATATCTCCAAAACTAAATTTACTACAGCACTCGCAACTACTTTAAAAAATCTAGAATTTAATAGCGAAAAACTTGGCTATTTTGAAAAAAATTAATTTTTGATTGGGGTCAAATAATAGCGAGTTGAACGCGAGCGGATTTTCGATAAAGCGAGCGCGTTCGCTACCCGGACTAATGGTAGAGGGGGAACTCAACAGTAGTGCTCAACTGATACCGGCTCCCCAAGCACGGTACAATTGTTCTTACCTTATTATTTATTCATTTATAAATATTATCAATTTTTATAATAATAAAATTAATAATAATTAAATAAAAAAAATATTGAGCAAGAAATTATTGCTGAGAATTTTTGTAGCGAAAGATTTTTGCATGAGAAAAAAGAGACGGTCACCGCTAAAAAAGTGTCTCTACCTGTCAATGAATAAAAAAAAAATTTATTCACTTTGTCTAATTTTTTAGAAAATAATTATTATATATTTTTTTTATTTAATTATTATTAATTTTATTATTATAAAAATTGATAATATTTATAAATGAATGAATAATAAGGTAAGAACAATTGTACCGTGCTTGGGGAGCCGGTATCAGTTGAGCACTACTGTTGAGTTCCCCCTCTACCATTAGTCCGGGTAGCGAACGCGCTCGCTTTATCGAAAATCCGCTCGCGTTCAACAAGCTATTATTTGACCCCAATCAAAAATTAATTTTTTTCAAAATAGCCAAGTTTTTCGCAATTAAATTCTAGATTTTTTAAAGTAGGCGCAAGTGCTGTAGTAAATTTAGTTTTGGAGATATTGGCTTCCAAAAAAAAAGCGGTTTTTTGATTTTTAAAAATCAAATTTTTGAGATAAAAATTTTGAAAAATATTAAAAATGTTCCTTTTATTACCAGAAATATGTGGAAAAAATCAAAAATGAAATCGGTTGATTTTTCAGCTTGCTAGCTCAATTTGTTTATAAAAC